ACATTCAGAAATTAAAAAAATAATATAAAGGAGTATAATACAGTATAAAACACAGAATTAAACAAATTAATTTTAAAATATAACATGTAGAATATGGAACAAGTAAATCATACAACAAAGGTCGTATAGTTTCTTTAATCTTAAGCATTTCTTTGCTTTGTGATTTAGTTTTTAATTATATACTATAAATGATGTTCTTCTAGTTGTTACTCATTTATTATGTTTCCCCATCTTTAACACAAAAGAGTTCCAATTTAAAAATTAATATATTATACTTTTCTTTTATGAATTGCATGCCATGTATAGTTATAGAAAACTATTGACTGGCGAGGCAAACTGCTAAGATAATAAAGTAAGACAACTAATTTAGGAAAAAAAAACCTTTGTGCCTCATTTTAACCACAGAGTTCTTTGACCTTTTCTCAGTGACAATGGTGGAGTTCTGTGATTTGGTCTTGCGATAATCTTTGAGATTATAATGAAACAAGCTTGCATTTCTGTCTTTACTGGATAAGGGGAAGTAGACACATGTCTACCCCATGATCAAAGAAACTTCTACTCTTCATCTCGTATCATTCAATATGCCAGAAAGATCTACAAACTTTACACCATTAAACTTTCTGAAATGGCGCCTGTTGTAATTCAAACTTACCACAGGACAGTTACATGAACAAAACACATTTAAAAGAAAATTTCAAGCTGGCTATGGTCTATTTTAAGCAATTAAAAAGTCACTACATTTTCTTATGAAAATACCAATATTGTTTTCATTCCTCAGACAGATACAAGTTAAGGTTAAGTAAACAAGGGTCATATTCAATTTCTGGAAGAGGTTTCTAAGCCTTAAATAGTAGTGAAAATGGTGGGAGAACACGCCAAGGGGTAAAAGCACCGAGAACGGGGAAAACGCAATGTTCTAAATTGTCCATGAAGCTTTGTTTGTCAGTGGTATATGAAGTAGCTCAGACAACAAGTACTTTATGTATTCTGGGTAAACAAAACAATTAAGAAATGAGATAAATTTTATTTTTATTGAATTTCAGAGCTTAAAGAAGCAGCTGCTGTTTCTTGACTTTTTGAAAGACTGACTTCCTTTCCTTTCGACATTTCTATTTTGAGAAGTGAATTCTTCTTTGGACTTAAATAGAGTATCACCTTTCGTGTTTGAGAATTCTTCAGCTATGCATGTGTGTTATTTCCTTAAGTCCCTGTCTCTGCAAGAGTAAATACAACTCAAGGAATGCCTTTACTGGGATCACTGGAAACAACTCCAAGCTGCAATCTTAATTTTCTGACTCCTGAGAACAGGCATACTCTCCCTGAAGCCTTCACTGGGCCTTTGAGAAATGAGACACTGTTCATGGGGAGAATCATTTACTGTATCACAGCATTCAATGCTACAAGAGCATTTTATTGATTATATTGACAGATTTGGTCAAAGTGAGGGCTATTTAAAAATGGATGTGCATAATAAATTTTATTTCCTCTTCTTATGGAATATTTGTTATATTATAGGCATCGGAAAGGTACATAAGGACAAATCTTTTTTTTGTTTGTTTGTTTTTATTTTATCATTTTTATTTTAATTTTAAATAGCTTGTTTTACCAGGACAAATCTTAAATCCCAGCCACAACTCCTTTAGTGTCATGGAAGATACAAACATATTAATCTGAGGTTCTGCAAGTGTTAGGACCAAGGTTGATCTGGAATCCCTAGAAAGGGATGTTGCCAATGATAGAAAGCCCTAGGAAAGGACTTTTAAGATGGAGTAGCAGCCCAAGCAATTCTTGAGAGATACCACACAGGGTAGACAATTAAAAAAATACAAGACTCATTGCTAGAACAAGATCAGGAAAGGAGAGATAGTCTCCTGGATAGCCAGAGGTGTAGGTAACATTCCAGAGGAATGGCAAAAGGTGAGCATAGAACCAAGTGTCAGCGAGGTCAGAAAAAAAACACAATTCAAGAATTCCTAGGGCAATGAAAAACCAGGATGGGAGGAGTCTTGCTGGATTGTGCTATGATGATCAGAGTGTGGACTAACCCATTCAAGGGCAGTATGGAGATAGATGTGCAATACAGTGAAACAAGGCTGGGAAAGTTAGGTCCGTTAACAAGTGTCTGTTAACATTCTGTGCTTACTCTATTATTGCTCTAGTAGATGCTTACTACGTGATGCAAAATGCTCCAGAGTTATATTTTTTCATTTTTTGTAACATGCCTATATAAAAATGGTTCTTAGAAACATGATAAGCAACCAATAGCACAATTGGTAAAATGCCAAAAATAATATTGAGAATGCTCACATTTTAAAATACCCAACTAGTTTTCAACACAAATAGAACCCATTTTGACATTATCAACGAGTATCATAATTCCTATTCTTTTCACCTAAACTGAAGGAAAAAAAAACCTCTCTGCCTTATTTTGGCCGCAGTGACCTATTTGTCCTATTTTCTCTCAGTAAAGATTTGATGTGGTACTTCAGAAACAAAGCTCTAAGAAAGAATAAAAAGACAAAACAATGATGCATTCATGCAATATGAAAAAAGCAGGATACTGTGAAAAAGAAATTACAATCTTCACCATATAACAAAGAAAAATACATTGACAGACTTTTGAGTTTCAATTTGCCTACTCTAGATCAACCACAATGCATTTATAAAATAATGTTAAAAATATGAGTGAAACCTATTTACAGGCTATAGGGCAAATGTTCAAGCAAATAAAATAAAACTGGACTTTAGGTATATAACAAGAATTGCATGTTAACGTGAACTTTGAGATCGCATATGGATTAGTTCTGTCTTAAAATTAAGAAAGTACTAGTAAACCGGGTCCCGATAGTGCAGACATTAAGACCAGCAATTGACAAATGACACCTCAAGAAGCTAAAAGGCTTCTGTGGGACAAAGGACACCATAATTAAAGCACAGAGGCAGCCTAGAGAATGGGAAAAATTGTTTACCAGCTATATCTCTGACAGAGGGCCAGTGCGTAAATTATACAAAAAAAAAAAAAAAGCTAAACACCATGATAATAGACAAACCAATTAAAACGCAGAGAGTTCTCAAAATAATAAACACAAACAACTGAGAACTACTTTAAAGATTCGTCATCCTAACCAATCAGGGAAATACAAAATAAAACAATTTGAGATTTCACCTTCCTCCAGTATGAATGGCTAAAAAAAAAACCACTAGGTGGAAGCAGGAAATGGGAAACTCATAATCACTCTTGGTGTCAAAACAAACTAGTACAGGGCAGAGATTCCTCAAAAAGTGAGGAAGACATCTGTCACATGCTTCAGACTCACCCCTCCTGGTGTGTTCCCAACAGACTTTGTAACCTGCGATAGAGATTTCTGCCGACCGATGTGCAGGATGCTTTAGTCACAGCAGGCAGAATGTAGAAACAGCATGCATGTCAAAAACTGATGATTCTGAAACTTTTTAAAAATTATGCATGCAAACAGGTGGTGGTAGCATATGCCTTTAATCCTACAACTCACTTGAGAAGCAGAGGCAGGCTGATCTCTGATTTGTAGGCCTGCCTGATCTGCAGAGCAAGTTCCAATATAGCCAGGGATATACAGAGATACCCTGTCTGGACAAACAAAGCCCAAATTATGCATGCGTTTTAAGGCATGGTGACTAACACCTACAATCTCCCCCAGGAAGCTGAAATGGAGACCGGTGTAGCATGGATAGCAAGTAGCAGGCCAGTCACGGCTACATACAAAGACCCAGTCTCAATAACACTCCCCCCAAATTACGTCAATCAAAGTGATTAATTTTGGCCTCATGTGAAGATGTTTCCATTTCAATTAGAGCTATTCTGGCTGCTGTTTTGATATGGTCCATCACATTTCAATATGAGTTGCTTTCTGTTTGATAGTGCTATGTAAATCTGTGCCACATATTAGCTCTTCCTTGTATCTCGACTGCACATCATTTAAATCCTATAGCAGTACAAATTTTGTTTTCGAGATAAATATATATAGCAACAGTACAGAAAACTCGCTGGAACTCAAGTCATCACCTGTAACCTAAATATCATGCAGGTATCAGCAGTTCCACAATGTAATAGAACAGACCAGTAACCTCCCACTGTATCCACTACATTGCTAGGCAACTTTCATGTACCTAATGCTGACTCTAAGCCACATACAGTAGATAAAATGTAAGTATACACACTCCAACAGAGTTCTCAGCAGGAAAGTTCACAGAGAAGTGGTTTCTGTGCTCTTTGGCATTGTTGCTTTTAGTATGATCGGAGATAAGCGTGACCAACCACAGCAATATGTACACACAGGGAAGCGTTGAACCCGCTACCTGCAGTAACAGGAAAACACCAATGGAATGCATAGCCAGAGATGCTGTCTGGTTTAATATGAAGAAGGAGAACACACTTCGTGAAAATCCAACAGCAAGTCATCTGGACAGGCAGGGACCTTCTCCTAGATGTTTGTCTTTGACACTTTGTGTAACAAAGACTATTCTTGTCACTCCAGGTTAGTCCATTCCAATAGTAAGCACTGTTTCAGTATACTGCCCAGGGAAGTTTTGCTTTGACAAAGAGACCCTGGGTTGCCCACATTCCAGGTTTCCACATTCTGATACTGTCTAGTAAGTACACACCTCTGCAAGTTGGCATGCATTCTCTATATTCCATCTTTAGACCACAAATCTTAACTAAGACTAATAATGCCTCATAGTATATAAAGTTAAATAGGAAGTTACCAACTGGCAGACTTCAGTCTGATAGACACGGGAGAGCATGAAATCAATGTTCAAGCGTGGCTGCCACCACCCACATTAAGAAGGTCCAGGCATTCTCAACAGGAGTACACAAGCCTACACTTCCTCCAAGAACATTCATTAAAGCAGGCAGCCCCTCCTCGCAGGCTGTCACAAGCCCCACAGCCCTTTGCCCACTGATGCAACGCAGCCGACTGGGAGACGGGTTTTAAACCAGCCTAAACTGGTTAATTACTTACCTCTTCACGTATGGCCCTGTTGCTCCTTTAACTTCTTGTTTCCTCTCTTGTCATAGCTCGGCGCTGAATGGTTGTGATTCAGCAGAAGTTTGAACCTGACAGAAAGAAAAATTTTTTCAGAACAAACATTACAAATTAAGGTTGCCTCCACTGTTGTCTTTCCCTGCCTGGCTCTGGGTGTGTGCGTGTTTCTCCTTGTCCCTCTGCAAGGCGGCTACGTAGTGGTCTATAAATATTGACCCTCACACTTGCTCAGAGCTCTCCTTGCTCATGGCACAGGTCTGTGTTACTGAACACCGCGGTTAATACTCCGGCGAGGTTCTCAGCTGCTAGGACAAAGCGGTGGGTTGGCTCACTACCCAGCAGCCCTGCGCTTGCCTGGAAATACCATTTCGCTGCCAGCTTTACAGATGCTACGGGCCTTTCCTGAGCCCCAAATCAGGCACAGAGGGGCAATTATGAGGCTTCTCTGAAGAAATACAGCTTGCCTCAAGCAGGTGGAGAGAAGAAGGACAGGAGGAGGGGAAGACAAAGGAAACAGTTTTTGTTCTGTCCCAACAACGCCATCTCAAACCTTTATAAAATTCCCACCTAAATGCCATTCACTTAAGCTTTGCAAAACTTGGCTATATACATATTATGACCTAAATTATAGAAATGCGGTTTTATAATTGTTTTAATATTGCCTCTTATTTAAAAAAAAAAGGCTGCAGGGAATGAGTAATTGGCCACAGAGAGATTTTTTTGACATATGTTCACTTGCAGAATGATAGAAATACATTGGAATGTATAATATTAAACAGATAAATTACGTATTTGGTGAAAGAAACTAAAGTGTAATCTAAACATTATGTGAATCAACATGCTACATGTTAGCGTGTAGATTTACAGTCCTGACAACTTGAATTATTTTTCTGTGACCTCTTAGATTAAGGATAAGCTATGCCATCCCAACATGTAGATTGTAGGCAACATAAATTTCTTATTATCTGCATTACATAATATTCACATTCTAAATGATTAGAAAATATATGATTCTTTGCCAATGGCAATCACTAGTTTTATTAAATTGTATCTCTTACTTGAATTACATATTAAGGAATCTTTGGAAATAATCTAGTCCAAGATGCTGGAGATCCACCCTGTCTCTGCGGTTAGTTTACTCCGGGTGATGTAGTAATATAGTAGCAGAGCCAAAACCAAAGCCACAGCCTTTCCTTCCTACTCAGATGCTAGGCAGCTTCTATCAGGACACTGATCCTCAAAACTCATCCTCAGCTTCACCTCCATGTGAAAACTTCCTGAAAGTCTTACCCACAGAAAAATATGCTCACAGTCAGGCATGCTGGCACACCCCTTTAATGCCAGCACTCAGTAGGCAGAGGAAGGCAGATCCCTCTAAGTCTGAGGCCAGCCTGGACTACACAGTGAGTTCTGGGACAGCTAGAGCTACCAACTGAGATCAAAATTCATAGGCACAAAATTAGTGTGAAAAAGAAAATCTGTTATGAGTAGAATCCCTAAAATTGTTACATACAATTAAGTTTCAAACAACTGAAATCAAATCTCCCATGCTTAATTCGTTAATTAATATTTTCACTAAGTTAAGTCATTGCTGGGAGAGGCACATAGCTAGATACTGAAGAGGCAACAGCCCTACTCTCAAAGACTTTATAATCTAAATTTGAGGAGTGGTTACTTGTTTAATGGTGCATTAGCTTGACAGTGAAGACAGGAGGAGGACACTGAGGAAACAGGAACAAGCAGAATCCCTGTTAGCATTCCCTACAAGAGCTTGTCATGTGATACTCCGGACAAAGCGACTGAGGCACAGACAGGACAAGGTAAAGAGAGTCAAGAAGGGACAGCACACACGTGCACCTGCACACAGCACTTTCTGGCTGGGGTACAAGCAGGTAAGACACAGTGTTTAGGGGCAAATGCAGTAGAGGAAAGTGTGAGCTCCGAAAGTCATGTTAACAAACTTGGGACTTCTGTTTAGGGTAGGCTATTACTTCAGATGTTCTACACACGTGCATGTGTGCACACACACACACACGAATTTTGAAAATTATGTAATCCTAATGTAATCAACAACCTTTTATCTTTAATTTTTTACCAGTAAAAATATGAGTACTTGCCAAGAACTGATTTTCTACTCCTCAAGAAACAATGACGTTTTAAAAATAAAATTCAGCAACAATACATACTCAATCCATTGTAGTTGAAACCAACCATTATCTATGTAGAAATAAAAAGATAGACATCCATTTAACAAGAAAAATTTTTGTTTTATATTTTATTGACCTCTAACCATCTCAATTATTCATAGAATTTTGCAAAATACACATAACAAAACATTTTTTAATTTCATAGATCTCTTCAATAAAATTTAATGTATAACATTCTTAGTTATTAAATATCCCATGACTGTGGTGCATACACCATGACACCATAGTGTGATTTAGGATAGTTGAGGGTCTGTGTTTCCTTTGCAAAAGAAATGGTGCCATTAATAAAGCATTGCTCTTAGCAAGATCAATGCTGCCAGGGTAGAAGTAGATGTTGAGAAGGTGGACACTCCAGTGAAACTCGCCATTCAGCTGCTAAAAAGAACTAGTGTTAAAAGGCTCTTCAGCATGTGATTGCAGCTGCATGACATTTGGGAACAGGAAACAGTTCCTCGAGTTACAGGCTTTAGGGGTGGAGGGACAAAAGGCACCAAGGAAGCATGAGCACTTGGAGTGATATAATGGCAGCATGATGTCATGCATGTGACAAATATGCAGAATTTTTCAACACAAACGATGAAGCCCTGGGCTGGAGAGATGCCTCGGCCCTTGCTATTCTTGCAGATGACCAGACTTTGGTTCACAAAACCCATTTCTGTTAGCTTACAATCACCTCTGACTCTAGCTCCAGAGGGACCCAGCACTGATGGCCTCTGGAATTATTAGGACTCATGTGCACATACCCACATATAGATACATACATATAATTTTAAGTGTTTTTCAATTAATTATGTAAATACAAACAGGCAGAAACCTCTTCCCTGTCTTCTTGAAGTATGTGGCCTAGAGGTGATATTGTTTAGTGAGTAATCTTTGTCTACCAGGGGATTTGGAAGTAACCTAACATTGAAAGCAGACCTGAATGATTTTGGTGTATTTATGATAAACAAAATAAAGCTAAGTTATTAAGTGGGAGAAGTCACATAACAAATCAATTATAAGGGATTGAACCTCAGCCTATTACTGGACTACAGTAGTACATACCACCTTGATATCACTTGTTTAAGAATAGATGCCACGCTGGATAGAAGAAGCAAGGGACCTGCCAGGAAGCACCAAATGAGCCTAATGAACTTCTCTCAGAAAACTCAATTTTAATATTGAGTACTGAAAGGTGGCACGAAGAAGGGACTAGCAAATTAGAGGGTGGCACGGAAGAACACAAATGCCTTCTCTCCCACTTGGCAAATGGGTAAAGAGCCTCTGAAAAGTCAAGGCTGGCTCTTCTTTGGACATCTAGGTCTCTGCCAAGCTAGGTTACAGGAAAAGGAGCAAGTCCACACGAGGGTTCTGGGAAAAGAGGCTAGATGTAGTTTTAAACACAATGAACTTGACATGTGTTGAATCCTAGTGAACATGTTTAGTAGATGTTCAAGTACGCTGGTCTACGATAGGCAAACATCTGCTCTTGTGCAATGCAAGCACATTTTGCATACAGTATCCATCAGAAGCAATGTAACTTACTTAAAAGGCCACCCAGATCATATATTCATCGTCTGATGAATACCTGACTGTTTCCTCATTTTACTCAGGAGAAACAATGGTCTATAAATCTGTTCTCTCCGTCAGTGTGCCTTAGACAGTAGCAACTACAACATCTATCTTTGCTGCAACTTACTTACCCTCTGGTTCTCTTTACACACATTTCCCTTGATTCAATGCCCATTGATAAGCTTCTATTTGCATTCACCTTTTTGTGTATTGTTCCTAGGGGCACCTTCTCTGAAAAGTCCATTGCTGCAATACTCCCTAAAACAGGAAACTTCCTTCTCTACCCAGTAAAAAGCAACTCCAATAACAGCATAGGTTTCAAGTTTGTAAACTGAGTCCTGAATATAATAAATGCATAGGATTTGTTGAACACATGGCTGAAAAAGACAGCAGCCAGCTGCATGCAAACAGTCATGAGATCTCTCTGTGTCACCAAGTATAATGAGAGTCAGCCAAAATTGGTATCTTAAGAATCTGCCAAGAGAGGGACATCTATACACATTAAAAACCCAAGAATGAGGAAGGGGCACATGATTAGAGTAATAAGGAGGATAAGGCCAGCAATACCAAGTACTCTGAAAAAAATCCAGCATGGCAGGAACTGAAGAGAGCTCATCACAGGAAGCTGAGAGGTTCACAGCACTGAAGTCACTAGTATGTGCAACGTAAAAGCATCAGCATGCTACATGAACTTATTTTTGTGAAGAACTCATAAAAGAGAAATCATTGGAGCTCAAGTTTTCCCAGGGATGGGAGGTCAGCATGCAAAATTAGACAAGAGAAAAATCATGTGGCCTTCCCCACATGAAGAAGGAGAAAGACTGGGCGATGTTTTAATACAGCAAACAAGCAGAACTTCCTACAGGGGAGGTGTCAAGTCTGTGGTGGCTTCTCAAGGTGGATGGTGAGCTGCACACATACATGCCTTTGCTCCTTCATTATTAAACTGTGATTGCCATAGTGTGAGAGTCTTTGAGATAATTTTAGAATAGTGTCTCATTATACAGATATGCCAAAGTTTATATACCCACTCCTTAGCTAATGGACTTTTGAGCGGGATTCCATTTGGGCACAATTATGAAAAAGGATTCAGGTTCATTTTTTCTCGAAATGAATTTTTCATTAATACTTGGTAAATAACAATGAGTGAAAATGTTTTAACATTGGCCCAGAGGCTACACCTTAATCCACTGCTTTTTCAGCCAGTCCACAATTACCAGCCTGCTTCTCTGGCAATGGTCCGACCACTCAGTCCATGGCCTGGTGGGAATTCTGTCCTCACAGGCATTGGCTCTGTCCATGGCCTGGTGGGA